TTATAAAAGAATGTAAATATTTATACTTTCCCACATCATTTTCGATGTATGCAGAATGTATGCGGGAACGAATTTCAAAATATCTTAATATTTCATTTTCGGTTTCGGCTTCGGTTTCGGCCGAAATTCATTTTTAATCTTCGGCCTTTTTTCGGTTTCGGCCGAAAGTCATTTTTAAAATTTCGGCCTTTTTTCGGTTTCGGCCGTAAGTCATTTTAAACTTTCGGCCTATTTTCGGCTTCGGCCGAAATCAGAAAATCACTTTCGGTCGGTCTCTACTCGAAACTGTAAGCCCCATCCCCAATCACCCATAAAAATTAGTCTTTCCCTTTTTTTTCCCCCATAAATACTTGTTGATACGTAAATACGGTTTGACACATAGTAAAGGTATATTTTGGTCACGGCTTTACTCTTCTTCTTCTTCATTTTGAGGGCCCACGATCAATGAACTGATCATTCTGGCTCCTATGTTTCAGAGGGGTTTGCGATGTTACTGTGCATGGGTTTCAATGGGATGCTTCACTGGTTGCAAGGGCGGGTCAGCAAAAAGACATTGCAGTAAAAATAAAAATGTAGACTATTTTGAAGGGGTAACAGAAAGGCCAGATGTTCATCAATTTACATAACCGTTTCTCAATAAATGATACATCACGTGCAAGTACATAGATGCAACCCAAACAAAACACACACAAAAAAAAGGCTTAGAAAGCAGTGGTTCTCAACCTTTCTAATGCCGCGACCCTTTAAAACAGTTTCTAATGTTGTGGCGACCCCCAACAACAAAAATATTTTCGTTGATACGATATAATAGTAGAGTATATGTGTTTTCAGATGGTCTTAGGCGACCCCTGTCAAAGGGTCGTGCGACCCCCAAAGGGGTCGCGACCCATAGGTTGAGAACCGCTGTTTAAGGATTAAAACCAAAAAGAAAAACTTTGTTTTTAGGGGGCTTTTTTTATTTTTTAAAATTAATATTTTATTTTTTGCTTTTCTCAGATTAACCTGACCTCTTATCATTGAGTCGCTGAAGAAACACAGCTTTTTTCCCCCCGACTTTACACAACGAGACATAGAAAACTTAACCTGTTCTATTGCTGTTCTGCTTTGTCCATGCTCGGGTCGAACGAGTACACGTGACAGCCGTACAATTTGGAGGCGTCGTCGTCAAACGAGAAGTCGTAGTTGATCCCAAAAGAGTAGATGACGCAAGGGGGGTCGGGGGTCTGATGTCGGGTCATCACAAATCTCCCAGCCTCCGTCAGCGATGTTCCCATGCGGAGTTTTCGGCGACACAAACCCTGCAAATGGACAGCGCAAATTGTTGTCTTAGTTAATTGGTCTTGTTTTAATGTGGACGAAGAAGATCAGGGCGTGCTTGACATATGAAGCATTAAGCCAGTGGTTCTCAACCTTTCTAATGCCGCGATCCTTTGATACAGTTCCTCATGTTGTGGCGGCCCCTAACCACAAAATTGTTTTCGTTTCTACTTCATAACTGTAGACAATATGCGTCTTTCGATGGTCTTAGGCGACCCCTGTGAAAGGGTCGTTCGACCCCCAAAGGGGTCGCGACCCATAGGTTGAGAAACGCTGCATGAAGCAATAGTAAAGTGGAGTTCCTTTTTAAGTAAAAACTATTAAAAAAAAAGGGCACACTATTTCACATTTCTGGGGCGTGACATGGAACCCGTTCTACTAAAGGCAGCCCCCCCCCCCCTTTAACTTAGGGCATCTCCTTTTTAAGACATGCAAAAGGTTTTTGTTTTTTTTTNTTTAAACATAAAAACTTAACCAATATAAAAAGCCTATCCATATCTTCAAAACCTGCCGCATGGGGTCCTACATACAAAACAGCGCCCTAGAGACTCACATCCGCATTATCTGGATAACTGTGGATGGTCATGAGAAGCTCGTCGTCGGTCAGTTTATTCAAGTCCAATTTGGCCAGATCTAAGACGTATCCATTGCGCCTGACGTGTGCGAGCAAACCTGGTGTTTAACAATAAAGAGATGTTACAGAGACCGATGTTCAAAAATGGCCAATGGAAAGTCAAGACAAACCTGGAGTTTAACAATAAAGAGATGTTACAAAACCCGCTGTTTAACTGGACCAATGACAAGTCACAACGATAAAGTTGTGGGGGATTGAAATGATTTCAGTTAATATTATTTCATATGCATTTAAGTTGTTTGGCAACTGCTCTTTTTTCCATTATGCAAAAATACTCAAAGTTATTATATTTCGTTCCATGTAAACAATTAAAAAAATGAAAATACCTGAAAGAGTTCCAATGAAAATAACTCCTAGAAAGGAGACCAGCCATTAAAAAAAAAAGAGAACACTCGAAAAACCACGCACCTGTGGCAACATCGTCCTCCAGTAACAGTGGGTTGGTGTTTGAGTTGGGCTTGATTGGGGCAACACTGTCTGCAATCAATAGAATCCTCCTATTAGGGTGAACGCAGATTGTTTAAACAGAGGTATCATAAATGTGGGGATCATGCATGCAATGTGAGCCGAAAACTCAAAGTCCACCCTGTTGGTTATAATTTGTTATTGTATTTTAAGTGAATATAACGTATTGATCCATGAATAGCACAAACATAATTTTCTCAATTTTTTTTATTAACTATTAGCAAGATTAAAATGTTTTTACAAATTAATACTCCGGGTCCAAACATATATATATATATATATATATATATATACACACATATAAGCATCCATTAAAAAATTAGCAAAAGTTTGACCAGACTTCCGATTTGGCACAGTACACTTCCAGAGCAGCAAACTTTCTCTGACAATGTCTTACTTGGTGCAATCCTTTTAAATACAGTTCGCTCTTGTTCTGCCACCTTTCCTTTTTTTTTAAATTCGACCTCCGCCCCCCGCCCCCCAAAACACCCCTCCCCCCAACCCCCCTCCCCCTAACCCCGTGGGCCCAAGTTAATGATGAAAAATAAAAACATTTTCCTCCGTCCAGTTCCCAACTTTCAAATGCTCCACATTTGTTCAATTTCACTACAGGGAACACGTGGCTGCTGGAGCCCCAGGGACTAACGCCCTCCCCCGCCCCCACTCCTCCCCCACGCCTACGCTCAAGAGGCGCATGTTTCGTTACTGTACTTTTTGGCCGATACTGCTTTTTTATACTTTCGTTTATCTTATAACAAGTTACTTTAAAAAAAAGAAGAAGTTTGTCCTTTTTAACATCCGGAATCTCTTCCGTTTCATTTAGCTTTTCCGCGTATTTGGGGGGGGGGGGGGGGGGGGGGGGGGGAGTGGGGAGGGGGGAAAAGAGGGGGGTGTGCAATCCTCGTCAGTTCCGGACGACCTGGTAACCGACCTGCTCAGCTCCTCTTATTAAGAAGTTTAATACATGTCCAATCAGATCAGAAATGACCTAGTTCTGCCGACTCTGCCTACACCATCTCCTGTTGTCGCAAAAAATAGAGACTTAAAGCGAGACAATGCTGCCGAGAGCCACTCGAATTTTTTAGGAGGGGGAGAAGCAATAGTAAAGGGGGGTTCCTTTTTAAGTAAAAACTATTAAAAAAAAAGGGCACACTATTTCACATTTCTGGGGCGTGACATGGAACCCGTTCTACTAAAGGCAGCCCCCCCCCCCTTTAACTTAGGGCATCATCTTTTTAAGACATGCAAAATGTTTTTGTTTTTTTTTAAACATAAAAACTTAACCAATATAAAAAGCCTATCCATATCTTCAAAACCTGCCGCATGGGGTCCTACATACAAAACAGCGCCCTAGAGACTCACATCCGCATTATCTGGATAACTGTGGATGGTCATGAGAAGCTCGTCGTCGGTCAGTTTATTCAAGTCCAATTTGGCCAGATCTAAGACGTATCCATTGCGCCTGACGTGTGCGAGCAAACCTGGTGTTTAACAATAAAGAGATGTTACAGAGACCGATGTTCAAAAATGGCCAATGGAAAGTCAAGACAAACCTGGAGTTTAACAATAAAGAGATGTTACAAAACCCGCTGTTTAACTGGACCAATGACAAGTCACAACGATAAAGTTGTGGGGGATTGAAATGATTTCAGTTAATATTATTTCATATGCATTTAAGTTGTTTGGCAACTGCTCTTTTTTCCATTATGCAAAAATACTCAAAGTTATTATATTTCGTTCCATGTAAACAATTAAAAAAATGAAAATACCTGAAAGAGTTCCAATGAAAATAACTCCTAGAAAGGAGACCAGCCATTAAAAAAAAAAGAGAACACTCGAAAAACCACGCACCTGTGGCAACATCGTCCTCCAGTAACAGTGGGTTGGTGTTTGAGTTGGGCTTGATTGGGGCAACACTGTCTGCAATCAATAGAATCCTCCTATTAGGGTGAACGCAGATTGTTTAAACAGAGGTATCATAAATGTGGGGATCATGCATGCAATGTGAGCCGAAAACTCAAAGTCCACCCTGTTGGTTATAATTTGTTATTGTATTTTAAGTGAATATAACGTATTGATCCATGAATAGCACAAACATAATTTTCTCAATTTTTTTTATTAACTATTAGCAAGATTAAAATGTTTTTACAAATTAATACTCCGGGTCCAAACATATATATATATATATATATATATATACACACATATAAGCATCCATTAAAAAATTAGCAAAAGTTTGACCAGACTTCCGATTTGGCACAGTACACTTCCAGAGCAGCAAACTTTCTCTGACAATGTCTTACTTGGTGCAATCCTTTTAAATACAGTTCGCTCTTGTTCTGCCACCTTTCCTTTTTTTTTAAATTCGACCTCCGCCCCCCGCCCCCCAAAACACCCCTCCCCCCAACCCCCCTCCCCCTAACCCCGTGGGCCCAAGTTAATGATGAAAAATAAAAACATTTTCCTCCGTCCAGTTCCCAACTTTCAAATGCTCCACATTTGTTCAATTTCACTACAGGGAACACGTGGCTGCTGGAGCCCCAGGGACTAACGCCCTCCCCCGCCCCCACTCCTCCCCCACGCCTACGCTCAAGAGGCGCATGTTTCGTTACTGTACTTTTTGGCCGATACTGCTTTTTTATACTTTCGTTTATCTTATAACAAGTTACTTTAAAAAAAAGAAGAAGTTTGTCCTTTTTAACATCCGGAATCTCTTCCGTTTCATTTAGCTTTTCCGCGTATTTGGGGGGGGGGGGGGGGGGGGGGGGGGG